CTTCAGTGAGGTGTTGGCTGGTACTGGGTCTCATCTTGGAAGGATCCACTTCCAAGTTCAGTTCTGGGGTTGCTGGGAGTATTAGGTTCCTAATATCATTGGGGTGAGAGTCTGGGTGCCTTGTTGGGTGTCGAGTGGAGGCGGAACTCAGCTTTGCCACATGGACCTCTCGCCCACAGCAGCGGGGGTCCTCACAGACAGTGACAGAGTCCGTGTGAGACAGCGGGGCAGCGAGAGGAGTCACCGTCCCGTGTCAGTTAGCCTCTGAATGCTGCCTATGCTGTGGGTTAGCAGTTAGTCGCTAACCAAGAACTTTCGTGCTGTGAACACCAGAATATTCAATAATTGGGGCCCACTTTATAGATCATCTGTCACAGTGAGTGCCTAACATTGAGCACAGTGTATAAATATAAAATGTGTGTGTGTGTGTGTCTATATATATATATATATATATATATATATATATATGGTGAGATACTATTTACATAGAATCCAAAAACATGTAAAATAAACTATTTTTAGGAATATGTACCTAGGTCGTGTTCATATTTTGAAAAGTAATAAGAAAGGCTACTTTGAAACTCTTTGTAGTGATTGTTTCTGGGTGAAGGCAGGGAGATATGACCGAGGAAATACACATAGGGTCTGCTTGGTGTTTAAAAAGTTGTGCCCTTATCCTGGGCCTTTGACTACTCAATAATAATTTATTATATTAACCATGTATATTTCATGTATCGTTTATGTATGTGTTTCTTAACAAAGGCTTTAAAAATTTCCAGTGAACTGAAATGCTTATTTAAGATGAGAGGAAGCGGTCACTGAAGGTCATCTGAGAACAAAACGGTATTCAGCGAGTGGTGGACGGGGTTTCCCTGACTTTAAATATCGCTCCGGTACTGTTGTGCCCAGATTGCGAAGTCCCCAAAGACCACCAAGGAGCCCATTCCGATGTAAACACACGAGGGTTGTTTATTCAAGCTCGAGCAGGGGCACTCAACCGTCACCGACGCAGCGGATCAGGATTGAGAGCCCCGAATTCCAAATCAGCAGGGTTTTTATTGTGGCTGCTGCAAGGTTTGGGGATGTTCCATTTAGCAGTTACATGATTGGTTGATGTTTAGCAAGCATGGGGGGTTGAGGGGTGGCTGCATGTAGTTTATAGGAAAAAGGAACAATCAGCACATTGACAGAATGTTCTATAGATAATGGGCTCGGGAGCATCTGTTTTCTGGGCAGACAGAGGATTGAGTTAGGAGCTGTGTCTTTTTATCTGTTGTCCCACAGCAAGGACATTTTATCATTATTTTATGGGCACAAAGGAGACTAGGGGAATAGTTGACTTCAGTGAAGTGGAATTTATGTCAAGGCCACCTCACTGTCTTATTTTAAGATGGAGTCAAACTTTAAAATGGAGTTAGTTAGGTCTCACAGTACACATGGTGATTATCCATCACCGCAAAAAGGGGGTGGTGGCTAAAACTCTCAAAAGCAAAATTCCACCATTGAAGCAATCTGCCCAGTGCACGCTAAGCAGCCGAAAGACAATGAGCTAACAGTGTCCCAAACACCGTGGGGTCCAGTGAGGCAGAGAGGGCCCTTCCACAAGGCTGAAGTAAACAACCTGCACCTTCACGTACAACCTTAGTTACTGTGCAGATGCTCCTGAAAGGTGAGGGCACACGGGGCCCTGGGAAATGGTTTCTGAGATAACTGCATGCCCTATCTCTTTCCCGGGTCTGCGATCCCTTAAGAACCCCCAGCCTAGGGGCCGGGGATTTAGCTCAGTGGTTCCAGCACCTGCCTCGCAAGCACAAGGTCCTGAGTTCGATCTCCGGTACCAAAATAAGAAGAGAAAAGAAAAGAAAAAGAATCCCCACCCTGTCGCCCTCTTGGCCCGGTGCTGTCTTGGAACTCAGCTGCTGTTCTCTCCTAGTGTGTGTCAGAAACTCCTAACTCTTCCATAGTCCTAAGTTCTTTTACTGCTCACCCTAGACTTTCCCAGCCCGTGTCTCGCATGTCGATGTTTGCCCACTTCATGCCAAGACTGGCAACACTGTTTAATACATGTTTTAAGATACTTAGGTTGAGCTTGATTTTATTGTGAAACTGCTTCCTTGGATTGATACATGTGAATTTTCCTATTAATCAGAGATGATACTGCAGGTGTCTCTACTAAGATCATGCTATTATAATTAAAACTCTATAATTTACCAACTAATAGTACATTTTACCTACAGGCAAAATGTTGTTTTTTGTTTTTTTGGTACCGGGGATGGAACTCGGGACCTTGCGCTTGCAAGGCAGGCGCCAGAACCACTGAGCTAAATCCCTGGCCCCCTACAGGCAAAATGTATACCAGGTATTTAGAAAATAAATTGTGCACTAACATAAAACCTGACAATAAAACCCCTTTTTTACATGCTTTTTTAAAAAAGAATTATTATGATGGGTCCAGGTTAATGGCAAGCATAACACATTTCTTGGACGGTAAATATGTATCCACTCCATTCAAATTTCCCCAGGGTTTGTTTAACCTAGTTCTTTTATGTCACTTCTTCTAAAAGACAAAAACATCCAATTTGAAAACAAAAAATTACATAACAGAAAAAAATACACCCCCCCCACTATGCCATGTGTTTAAAGAAATGAAGAGTTTGGACAGGTTTCCTTTCATTTGTGAGCATAGCTTTAATATGAATTAGCCATCCTATTTCACTAGATCACGCGTGGCGTTTAGCCCGGAGCACACAGAGCACTGTCTCCCTTGGTTCCGAGTTTATTTAAAGCCTCAGGGAACTGGTACAGTAATTTTCCCCTGTGCTTCCTGCCCCATTGGGGCAGTCCTCATCCACGGGGAACTGGTTTTGGTGTTAGAGTGGTATAAAATAAAGAAGATTATCAGTGTTGCAGTCTCCAGCAGTCAGAGTTCAGTGTTTCTCCTTTGGGATATTTTCTTTAGAAGCCATCCATTGAAACTTAATTTTTGTTGCCATCTCCTTTCTCAACTGAATTCCACACGGATGCACACGATGTAGATAATTCAAGGAGGCAGGTCTCGAAGTCTGCTGCCTGTCATGGTAACCTGAGGACCATTAGAAACTTCTGACCCCAGGCCCTCACCCCAACAGTCAGATGAGAATTCAGCCCCGGGGCGAGGGGCTGGGGCTGCGTCCACCTCCACCGGTGGACAATGACAGCACACTCTGCCTCGGAAGCTATGGTGACAGGGTTTTCTCAATCCTTCTACATTTATGTAGAAACCTTTCTCCTAATAATGAAAAAGTCTCTCTTCTATGTCTTTCTTATTTAGCCCGTTTTCTTGTATAGCAAGCCCAGTGTAAGAGCTTCCCCACTCAAGATACATCAGTGATCGAAATCTTTCACCTCTACAGATTTACAAACATAGACCTGTGAATGGAAACAAATCAATCAAGTATTTGCTAAGCACATTAACGTGCTAAGCATATACCTATTAGCTGGTCTTCCAATGGTCTTAGTTAAGCATTTAAGGATTCATCACACAGTAGCCAATTAGTCCGGGACTGCCTGTTTCTTGATCCCCAGGCAGCCAAATGGTAAATTGGCAGCGTTTCCTGTTTTGAAATGCTAGTCACCCAGACAATTGGATGGGTCTATTTGCATCCTTTAACCTTTTATTCTATACTGATTTGAAAAAAAAAACAAAAACCTAAAGAATGAAGTCTAATAACTACCTGAATGATGTGAGGAACTATAGATCTCGGTACAGAGCTCAGTAATTCAACAGAGAGAGCAAGAAGTCAGGTGTGAATAAAGTCCGAGACAAAGATGCTGGGTCATCTGGCTCAAATAGACCCTGAGGAAAGAAAGCACGAGTTGATGTAAGGTGTTAAGGCCATGGAGACAGGAAGTAAAGGACAGAAGGAAAATAAGCCCACACCGCCGAATTCAGGGACCAGCACCCTACTGTATAGCTGGGCTCTGCAGTCATTTTCCCCCAAAAGGCTGCAGAAATGAGTTTTGAAGGTTTGTTGCTGGTAAGAAAAAAACATCAACACCATCATTCAGGTTTTTTTTTTTTCAACTCTTTTTTTTTACCTGGAGATCATTTTTTGTTTCTTTTTCAAGAAGTTTACAATGTAAGGATACAAAACATGCACAGGAGGAGGAAGGTAAATAACCACAAGCTAGCCACTGGGCACTCTTTCTTTCTTAGAAACAGCTTTGTGTCTTCACATTATAAAAGTGTATATTCATCTTCTTGGATGGAAGCCCCACCATGATGCTAGACCTAGAGATTGCCCCAAATGCCGACATTATGCAATTTCACCTTAAAAATTCATCTAATCATGTGATAGGTTTATGGTTAAAGTAGGGCTGTGAAAGTGATGGACAAATGCAGCATCCCTTATTGGAAATGCTCAGGACCAGAACGTGGTCTCCATCTTGAAATACTCCTGTGTTTCCCAAAAATGTCTGGAATGGGGATCCTCATTGACAGTGGGGAAGGGGCAAGTCCTAATGGCCTCCTTGTTCTATGCCAGTGGTCTATGTTTCACACTCCAACCCGAAATGAATGTGCAGCAGACTAAAATGCAGCTTCCTGCTCCCGAGTCACCAGACAGATCTATCACCATTACTCAAGGGTAGGCACGGAGCGCTGTACAGTGACACTGGACGTACTGTACCAAGAAGAGTAACCTCATGTGTCTGCTGTCTTTGAAGAAGTTGAAGCAAGGAAGAAACTTGGGAAGTCAATGAGGAAGAATGGTGGATGAATCAAAACACATCAGAAAAAGGAAATAATGCTTTGCACCTACCATGAAAATTTCATCAGGAAAATATACTTAACTAATTAGATAATTGTCTGTTTATTAACACAAACAATAACAAGGAAAAGCGCTGCTCCTAGTGACAACAGCTGCTTAGCAGGGTATAAAAGGGGACCAGGGACAGGAGGCTTCCAAACCTCACAGACCCTCCATCTCAGAACCAACCCAGAACCTCCAACTTCCGACACCATGGTCAACTCCTGTTGTGGCTCCGTCTGCTCTGAGCAGGGCTGTGGCCAGGAGAGCTGCTGCCAGCCCAGCTGCTGCCAGCCCA